GTCCCTTTGCTCTTGCCCTCACCATGTGGTTGTAGTATGCAGAAAAGAAATAGCTACTGCTTCCTGATTTCTGATATGCTAGCCTATATTATACTTAGCTATTCTAACCTGCAAAGAGATTATCTGTTGGTTTGTCGGTTTATTTTTTGGGGTTATTTTTGTTAATTCATTTAATTATTTTATCAGTTTAGCAAATTATTTAATTTATTACTAATAATTCCTTTGATGGCAATTTCTAGTAAAACAAAATCCTTATATGAAAAAGTATTTTTTTCCTGGTACACTTTTGTCTTTTTTCATGTGGATCCAGTGATCTGTTTTCTCAAATATGTGAACCAGCCAGGAAAATATGATTTTATGTTATTTAATTAGGAAAAAAAGAATCTTATAGCTTGTAAACATCTGGTACTGTCTACATTTTATGATTCCTACTGCACAAAAGAGAAAATGCTGAGGTTACGTTTAGCAGTAAAACCACATTTATGATTAGGTTGTGGATGCACATGCCTGAACTGGAAACACTTTTACCTAATTCTCCTGGTATTTCTGCACTGGAAATGAGGTTTGAATCACAGGACCATATAAGGTGACAACAAAGAGAAAACCACTTTTTCCTGGCTCTCAAGCCATTTTCCCTCTATATATCAAAGTTTTACACTCATGCATTGCTGTTATCAAGAACCACATGGTTGATGCTTTGTTTCTCTTTGTCCAGCTATAGCTTGAATGTATTACCTAGTTAAACACAGGAATCATAAGGGTTTTCACTCCTTAACAGTTCCTTTACCTTCACCTCTGTAGACCTCCAACTCATAATAGTAGCAAGAGAGAAACATCCCAGCAAATAATAACTATTAGTAGTTTTATCTAAGCCATACAGAGGGAAACCAAGTAATACTGAAGCAAATTATTTTAGTGGCATAATCTGTTCTAAGTCTAACATAAAACATCTGGAAATACTAAATACATTTTTTAAAAAAATATTAATACCTACTAATATTTCTACAAATACCATAATCTACCTAAAAGGTTCCTTCTACTAATCCATGTACAGCTGAGCAATATGAATTGCACTTGCCTTGTTTAGACACTATGTGTAATGTTTTTTTTTTTCCTTCAACTGAAAAAAGAGTTACTTGGATTACCTTCATCCTACAATTAACATCAGGCAGATTTTAGACTGTCTGGAGTCTCCACTTCATTAAGATAAAGATCTCAAACCTTAAATGCAGTGGCAGAAAAGAAGAAGGCGCTGGTTCACTGTAGTCAACTTTATCCTAGTGCTCTTCATCATGAGCTTTAGGGCTTTTTCTGTTTGAGACCATCTCAGACTATTGCTGAACCCAGAGCAGTGGAAAAAGCATGCCCTGCTGATAGGTGACTCCCCAATGTTCTCTTCAGGAAGCATCAAACTTCAACCCTCTTGAAAGGGTCTTCCTAAGACAAATTTTGTGAGTGGATTTGAATACTGTATAGGAATAATTTCTTTACAGCTACAACCTGTCCCCTTAATTTTGCTTAGAAAAGCTGGCAACTGCTATAATCTAGGCAACTGTAATTGCACTGGATGTTTTGATTAATATTTTAGCCAAGTATTTTAGGAGGCTCATGGAGGTCTTGTGGTTAATATATTGGTAAAGAGCTCTGGAAACCTGTGCTGAGCTTGGCAGTAATAAGTTTATGAATCTGTTGTCTCAGTGAAGCCAGTAATTTGCCATTAATTTAACTAGGGCCACATCATATTTGTTTTATATTCAACATTAGGAAACTTTTTTGTTCTACCAGTGGGGTGGTACCTTCCTCCCTCTTTTTTCAGTTCAATATTCAAAAAGGTGCTAGGTCTTAGGAAATAGTGGTGTCTGTTGGGGAGCCAGATTAGCTAATTTTAAATTTATTAAATCCATGCCATAGAAGCATTAACTTGTTTTAATTATATTATTTTAGAGGTATCTTTCATCATTGGACCATGCAAAATAATGGAAAAGCTATACAAAAGTTGGTAAATTGCAGTACTTTTCCCTCCTGTCTTCCAGCTCCATATTTAAAGGCTCAGCCGTGTGTGTGTATCATCTGTCTGACATCCAGACTGTGTTCAACGGGCCGTTTGCACACAAGGAAGGGCCAAACCACCAGCTGATTCCATATCAGGGCAGAATTCCGTACCCACGACCTGGCACGGTAAGTAAGTAAAAAGATGTTTATGCAGACTTGCCAGTTTCTTGTCTTTGTTTAATACGTAAATAAATATTTATTCTAGGAGAATGGACTATATGTGACTGTGACACTTAGTTGCAGTTCAGAACAATTTTACTGGCTTCTCAGCTTGCCATACAAATCACATAATATCTGGAAATTTAGAAAGAAGTCGTGCAAAATGTTAATCACTCTTGCTGTTTCTGCTGAAAGGGTGGTAAGAATTATTTCATTAGACAGTAGTTATTTTGTTTTCATATACATTTACATCTTGTGTGTACGTCTGAGCAAAAGATAGCTAAATAAATAATCATACAACAGCAGCATTGTGTGTTCTGCTGTCTGGATACAGAGGTCTGTATGTCTTCAGTCTGTATGAATTTTCCATCACACTCTGAAGTTTTGCAGCTACTAGGATGCTTGGGAGATGTAGTAGGAGAAAAAGGCTTCTGGGACTTTTCATCTGACTAGGTCTAAGACCCTGTCAGGTACTAAATCTTACAAGAGAGACCTAGAAATAGATGAATTTTCATGCCTATCAGTTCATAGTAGTCCTCCTTGTTAAGAATTCTTTTTGTACACCTTGAAAAATTTTCAGGACTTTCTTTCACTGTATCAAGGGTAGTAGTAATCTTTCAACAAATTCTCCATTAACACTAGCTTTGTTTCAAAGTTTTACAAAGATGCCTTGTGAAAGATTTTAGAGTAACTGTTCTGTTTTTTGTTTTTGTTTTTTTTTTTCCCTTTTCATCTTTATGGTGTATAAAAATTCCTGTTGATGCACTTTTGTCATTATTTATTTATTTACATGCAATATTCTTAATTTATATTTAGCAAAAGTATGAAGTCTAATATATCTAGCTTTAATGAATAATGTATGAAGTTTCTCTAGACTCTTCTTTAAGTTCATATTTGCTAAATGAAGTATGGTAGTGTGGAGTTTTGTTGACTCCTATGAAGGATTCTTACAATTTCTTAAGTATCAGAATTAGATAAGTATGCACAGAATCATAAATTGTCTCAGCTGTGTAGTTATGAATTTTTTTGATTAATACTTCGTTGCTTTTCCATTTATCACAGGAAATTAATTTTTATTTTAATTTTGCAAGTCACTGCAAGAACCTTTTACCACATTGCTCTTTCATTCATATTCATCTTTGTACTGTAGATCTTGTTCTTTCCCTCTCTTTCTCTCTCATACACTAATGCTCAGATACATGGAATAGCTCTCCCTGTAAACACAGTTCTTCATGACATTTTAGTGCAATTATTACTGGATGTAAGATTTAGGACTTTCTGTTCCAAGATCTCTAGAATTAGCTGATCAATACCTGATATTCCACTAAGGTCTAATGCTAGCATTGTTCGTTGTTTGCATTTAATTAATGCAGCTCTAATCTCACGAGTTCACTGGAACTTTAGGCTTAAACTTTACCAAAAAGAAAATAAATGGCCCATTTAAACAGGAAGTTTCATGCTCCTGTGGTTAGTCACATTTTAGCGTTTCTTGCTGCTTCAGAATATTGTATTTGTGTGTGTTTCCTCAACCACTGCCATATTATTCTTGGTTCAACTCATGGAGGCTTATGAGGTATTCCAGATGGGCCTAAAGAAATTTGGCATCAAAATGAGGAGGGAAAAGAAAATTCAGATTTAGATTTAGTGTGGTGACAGAAGTTATCTACATGTTTTAGGTGTCTCAACAAGCTCTGAATTTGAGGACAAATTCTTTGATCATAGCTCACATAAAAAATAAAGCTAAAAGAGGTGCTTTTAAAATGATCCTTGCTGGTTTTCTGATTACTGTTTTTTCTGTGCTTCCCCACAATTCAGCCACAACACAGTGACTTAAAGTGACTTATATTTTCTAATCTGGGAATTTTTTGGCTTTAATTTCATTGCAAAAAAGTTCCACTTCTAAGCACACACCATTAACTATTTTTCACTTATGTCAAAGCGTCTATAAAAACTGGGACATGGGGATTTTTGTTGCTGCTCACAATTTATGTTCAAAGGGTTAACTTTGAATAGCTGTGCTTGCAGACTATAGGGCATAAGCCTCTTTCCTCTGGAACGCAGGACTTTTGCAACCTCTGTGATGCTGGACTAGACAGGAATGCCTTTTTATGTGACATGGGAAATTCTACTTTACAGTTGCCTAAAGAGATACTAGTACTAAACCTCTGGACAGAAGTGAGTGTTCATTGTGTTGCAGTAGACTGGGTAAACAATGAAAAGGCTTTGGTATAGCCTCAGTAGGATTAAATAAAGCAATAAGTTAATTTGGCCATAATCAACTTCACAGCTTTTGGCTGCCCTTCACTAAATACCAATGATTCCTTCTTTTTCCACAATCTCTACTTACTTACGAAAAAAGAAAGGGGAAAAAATTATATAACTGGCAGCTTGCTACTAACTTCAATGATGTTTGAGGATAGTTTCCATTTCTCAGAGTTTACAGAAACAGGTTTTTTACCCACAGCATATTGGGGAATATGCTGTAAAGTAAAGAATTCTGTTTCTCTCTGCAATCTAACTGCATGGTGATCAACTGTGAACAGAAGTATTGTGTAGCCAAGTACTCGAATGAGGTGTGAAGGCTACACATTCAATCCCCAAAGGAAAGGGAAAGCTTATAGAGTTCTTCGGTAACATCTTTTACTTGTCCTTGGTTTACAAGGGGGATAGCAAAATAATTAATTGATTAAAGATGTTTGTTAAGGCTTTGCTCAGAACAATGATATCATACAAGTTTTTAGGGTCATACTGGGGTGAAACATCGTATCGACATTTTTGCAGGAAGTCACAGACAAAGGTCTTATGATCTCCAAGTCAAGAATGGAAGGGCAGAAACTATCAGAGAAAGTCTTCTTTTAACTGAGCTGTGTGAGGCAGAAAGTTTAATTTGAACTGCTTATGAAACAGAATCCCTCTGGAGAGGAACAGAGGTTTGGCAGATCACTACCAAGTAGAATAATCTTGCTAATAGCCCACAGATTTATGAACACAGTTCTTTTCTCAGCATTTGTTGCTAATCTTAGCAGATAGATACATACATTTCCTGGAAGACTGTGGATGCAAGTGCCACAGAGGAAAGGAGCAGAGCAAAGACGATAATAAGAATTCAACTTTATGAGCAGTCTTAGAGGGCTAGCATGCAGTGTCATTTCTAAAGAGAACCAAGCCAAAACCTTTAGAATAAATCAGAGTCCAGAAGAATCAATTGTCAAGGATGTCAGATGAGAAGGGAGACCCATATCTGATCTGCGTTCCTGTTCTTCCTTAAGGTAACTGATGCCAAAGAAGTTTCTTTTATAGAAAAGCTCCCACCAGAACTGCTCTACTCTCTATGAATAATTAAATCCTAACTAAGCCAGAAGATGATTCTAAAGGCTGGGATTAGGCTGCAGTCCCATCTCTATTTGGTTCCTGGTATTGCCTAATGAATAGTTTATTAGGTGCACAAGATGGAACAGCTTTTAGCAGCAAGGGTAGGATGGGCACTCCTATCAGGTGGTTAGAGGAATCCCCTGGGAGGTGAAGACACAGATTCTAACATTTGCTCACATCAGGTAGGTTGTACACATGAGTCATATATCCCCAGTGAGTTTCCTACACTCCCAGAGTATGATTCATTTTGTGTAATTTTAGCCGTCTAAATGCAGGGCATCTAGCCTGAATTACTGACTACAGAGGAAACCTAGATGGCTAATTAAGAATAAATGCATGACTTTGAGACAGTAGAAGTTAGGTGAGGTAAATCTTTCCCAAAGCTACTAGCTGTTTTTGTGTCTGTGGTTTTGACCAGAAATTCCATCGTAGACGTAAGAATGGTCCTCATCAAAATAAGCAAGCTTCCATGAGATGCTTCATATTGAACAAATCAATATTTTCCAATTGGAAAAATACTGTGTTGAAACCTTTCTGAATAGCTCCAATACTCCAATGAGAGTTCACAGCTCAGAAATCTGGTAAGGGGTGGGGGGTAAAATCTGAAATCTGGTAATGAAAGCTCAGAAGCAGCAATAAGAAGTGAGGTAAAGATAACTGGAAAAAAAAAAAAATCGTGTGAATTAGGACCTGTACATCCAGAACATTGTACCTGTTAGTGACACAGCTCCTTTTAGCTTCACTTTTAGCAAACACACAAAAGATTGCTTTTATTTCCTCACAAGGTCCAGGATGCTTCAGGGCTGATTATTTGGATGATTCTTGATTACATTTAAAGACACATCCAGAGTATTCACAGACCTCTGTTATTTCTGAGGCATAGAGGAAGGTATAGACAACACCCTGTGAATGTCCGGTCTTTTCAGATATAAATGAGTTGTCATGGGACCCCCACATCAACTCCGTATTGCTTTTTCAAAAGAAGATGAGTCACAGGCACTTTCTCCATCTCATAATCAATGTAATGACTAGAGAGTTATTGACCAAATTAGAGTTCAGTGTCAGATTTTTCCTTTTGCCTTAGAACTAATTCTATAACAATCCATCTGCAAAAGCTTGGTACCTTCCCATACATGCTTGGATTTTTTTTTTTTTTTTTTTTTTTTTTTTTTTTTTCCACCAGGCAGCTTAGAAGCATTAAAAAATGTAGAAATAGGTCCAGAAGTATGGATCTTTGCCATCAAGCTAGGTTTTGAAAGTGCAAAAGTATGTTTGTGTTTGCTTTATTGGAATTGATGGGAGTTCAAAGTGTAGCTATTCAAGCACTTCATTCCCATTACTGGAACATAATTACCGTCAGTCAGAGGCTGAAGTGCTCTTTCGGGAGTTTACTTTGTCAGCTATCTGTCAATATTGGTAAGTGATTTGGAGATGAAATCTCTCTGAAAGATACTGAGTATTGTTAAGCATTACTGTGCATGTTCCCTACAGTGTCCAGGAGGAGCCTTCACACCTAATATGCGGACAACCAAAGAGTTTCCAGATGATGTTGTGACCTTCATCAGAAATCACCCTTTGATGTTTAATCCCATTTACCCAATACACAAGAGGCCATTAATCATACGGATAGGAGCTGACTACAAGTATACAAAGATTGCTGTGGATCGAGTGAATGCTGCTGATGGAAGATATCACGTCTTGTTCCTCGGAACAGGTGAGATGAGCTTACCAACAGTGGCTTCCCTCCATTGCATTATAATTTGCGTCAGCTCCCATGTGTACAACTTATAGCTTTCAGAAATGGTTATTTAAATGTGTTTGTGATCAAAAAAATGTCTGTAGAAATTCATAAATTAGGTTCTTTCTACTTTCTGTGCATTTCTATGTTTACTACAGATGTTAATTATGTGCGAGAGATACAATATATTAATATGAATTTTACCTGAGACAGAAATCAACACTAGTGTATATTGTATTTAACCTAAATAAGAATGCTTCTCTTCAGTATGGTTTGTCTGCAACATGATTCCACATTAGAATTTGATGCTAACATAAATAAAAATACCAAAATCTGGCTTCGTATTGTTTTGGATACTCTCGATATCATTAGTTAATGTATGCTGTGTAAGTTACTTCTGAAGAAAAACATGTTCTGATCAGGTTGTTACAAAGGCAGAAATAACAACTCCACAGAAAAACAAAAAGGAAAACTATGAAAGTGCTTAGGAGAGAAAAAGAAACAAATGGTTGGAGTCCTAGCAGTAGTGATCACAGAGAATTTGATACAAATATTCTAAAATACTTTCTGTCTAATATAACCTACATTTTGTTTTTAGTTACATCAAATTTGAATCTGGTGTTATGCTTCTGAAGTCTGTAGGGAACAGGTCAAGTGATTCTCATACTGATCAATTTTAATTTTTTTAAATATTCAGATATGAATTGCACTTTTCTGATTGAAGCAGACAAGCAGAGTGGAACTCTGTCTAGACTCTCGGATTCATTTACATCTGAAACTCCCACTGGCTTAACAGGGCATTATAAACTGATAGGCACAGAGGCTAATCTTTTTTACTACAGATGGTTTCAAGTAGAACAAAGGGAAAGAACTCCAGGAGAACAAGTATATCCCTGAACATCAGAAAATAATTACAAAGATGGCTTGCATTGCTTTTATGGTTCACATATTATTGTGGTCCTGGTTGTTTTCTGCTTGTAGAATAAGCGTGTTTGCCAACAAACTCACATGGGGCTGGGAATAACCATCCTGTGTAATGGTTTTAGGAAGCTGGAGCTAAAGAAATCTCTCAGGAATGTCAGGCTTCTGTAGGGGCAGGATTAAAAGGAACTCTTTTCACTCTTACTAGAAAAACCTCCCCTACTATCAAAATCAGCAGAGCACCATTGTGCCAGAGGAGGCCAACTGCACACCATGCTTCATTAGCAGAAGAGTATCCAGCCAGCAGGTTGCTAGAAGGGATTCTTCCCCTGTATTCTCCTCCAGTCAGGAATACTGTGTCTAGTTGTGTGCTACCCAGTACAAGGAAAACATTGACTTAACAGAACAAGTTAAGTTGAGGAACTGTAGCGTGTGATGTTTGAGAAGAGTCTGAGAAAATTTGGCTTGTTCATAGAAAGCTCAGGAGACCTTACTGCTGTTGACAGCTATCTAGTGACACAACTACCTAACGGGATAAAAAATAGACCTGGACTCTTCTTAAGGTGTTTGGTGTCAGGGTGAGAGGGACTTGACACAAGCTGCAACACGGGACATTGCAATTAGATACAAAGGAAAAGATTTTCACCATCAATGTGATCAAATATTGGAACAAGGGCCCACAGAGGTTCTGAATTCTCAGTCCTCAGAGACACAAGGGATTCAAAACTCAACCCAGCACAGCCCTGAGCAGCCTGCTCTAATTGAACCTGCTTTGAGTGGCAGACTGGACCAGATGACTTCTAGAGAGACCCCCCCCCAGCCTACAGACTTGTGTGGTTCAATGAAAGGAAATAGGAAAATGGAAATACTTCACTCATGTTCTTTTGTCAAACCTTTACCAGGTCACCATCTACTGTACTGTGAATGCTTAGTATACTGTAAGGCATAGGCGAGGTAGAAGCAGCTCTGGAATTACATTAGATATTGTGATTTTAAATAAAACAATAAGAAGAATTACAACAGGTTTTGGTCTAGGTCTTTTTTGGTTTGGTTGGTTGGTTGGTTGGTTTTTTGGTTCATAAATGAGTTTTAAGGTGTTTTTGAAGATCTCTTTGATCCTACTTGTAGGGCCATTGGAAACTACCAAATTAAGCTAATTAGGACAGGGCTTTCTTCTTGAGGTGAGTTTCCCCCACCCCCTTCCCTGACGTGTAACCCCATTTTCTTTTTAGTTTAATTAATGCAGCTGCGGTTCTTGACTTTAGGACCCTTTAGGGTCATTTTTCTCCTTTGCTACAGAATTAAAGTCTTTGTACACTACTATAAAAATATCAGAAATGTTAGTAGACACTGTCCCTACTACTGTGGTATAATTCCACAAGAACACTAGTAAAGAAGTTTTATTTTTCTGTTAGCTTTCTTCTTTGCCAAATCACTATGTTTAGCCAGAGACGTAGCTTGGTAGGCTTGTACAGATCTTTCAAATTAATATTTTAGGCTTTTTTTTTTTTTTTATATAGCGGAACCAAAGGGAAGGAAATGCTCCCTAAAGATCTAATGTTCATTTGGGGCAAATTCTACTAAGATTAGTGAAAAAATAAAGACATAGACATTTCCAACCAATACGGAATTGTTAATGTAGTGGTTAATACACCTGTGATTCATTAAAAGCATTAAGGTACCTCAGCTTGTTCTTTTGTTTTATGAAGCTTCTTTTGTGTGTCAGCACAGGATCCATTATGGATCAAATACCTAAACTACAGCTCTTGATAATTTATATTCGTTGTTTTATTCTCTGCATTACACTGGAGACAAGAATCATTGTCTGGTTTCTAGTTAGTTGGAGGGGAGGCATTATTCTTCCTGAGTAGGCCACATGACATTAATAGCTTCCAAGGTGTTCCTCAGAAGAAATTCATGCAATGTAAGTTGCTACTTGTCTCAGTCCTTTCAAATAAAGGTGATGAAGTTTCAGCCACTGAGAGGAGAAACTTGTTTTCTTTATTCTCTGCTTGCTGTGAGACTCAGGAGGATTTGATAGAGATATTAACTGTCAAAAGGAATGCAGAGGGAATTTTCTTTGGTGTCAATATGTCCCAGCAAATGTAGAACCCATATTGTATAGAAGAATTTCATGTGATAATTTCCTTGGGAGCCTGGAGCCCCACAGCAAGAGACAATGGGACCTGACACCTGGCGACAATTACGCTCAGCTCAGCTGATGAGTTACTGCTGCTGAACTGAGATGTTGCCAGCCATGTCTGTCACTGTCAGTGACCTGTCTCATGCTTGAAATTGGAGTGTTTTATGTCTTGCCAGATGCAGAGCACACAAAATATTTAGCTTTTCCTCTCTTCCTCCTCTGCAGCCTCAGTAATAAATCAGTTCCTGAATGCAAGTGAAGAATAACAGAAGTATAAAGCTCCAAGAACCCCAGTGGTTTTCATCATGTAGCCATGGCATGGGAGCGTATAGGCAGCTGTGTCATTTTTTCACATTAATGTGAGATAAATGTAGTATTTCCTTTGCACCCCCAGACAAAAGTGCTGAGCTCACAGGGGCTGCTCTCTGCCCAGAGTTAATACCTTGCCTTCCTCCATCACTTGCCACATAGCTAAAAAAATAAATCCTTGGGGCTGACATTATTTTTGAAACATTCCACCCGCTTTTCAAATGATAACAATCTCCTGTTTTCCCTGTGCTTTTAAACGTGAAGATTCCCAAAGCACTTAACAAAACTTGCAAATTTTCTTAAATCCACCCAAAGGGATCTCTTCACCTCCCTCTGAAATGAGTTGATTCAGAGTAAGGAGCAAATCTTTAGTGGTAGAGAGCAGTGCTGCAAGAAGGAGTGCTGTATACCGTGACTACTCAAAGACAAAGCCCAAGGGTAGTTTACTTGGGTAGAATGTAATGACTCATTTGCATATTTGACGAGGGTGATGCTGATGGTACTTTTTCCTTATGCAATGAGTAATAACATATTCAGTTCAGGAATTTGGGATTGGAGTTCAGCTTCGATTATCCCATTTCTGTGGTAGGTTAGGGCTCAGCCCCGAAGTTGCTGAGTCACCCTACAGTTTTACTGTAATTACTTTACTCATTTCTGTTGTATCTAAAGAACAGGAGCCTTCAATATTTTCTATTTATCCTTTGCTAGATTGTTTTCCATCTGAATTTTAAGAACAGCAGTAACACAGCATGAAAACATTTTCCTGAGATTAATATTTATTTTTTAAGCATGCCACCTACTGTTTACAGTATGAAAGCCTTTGGTCAAAGTACACACAGATTGCACAACCAAAAGATTTAAGCATGGGGTTTTTTATTGCTCTTGTTACAAAAATATCTAAATGCCTGGGTCAAACTTGGGTACACTAAACAGCCATGGGCACCAATAGGATTTTTTTTTCAGATTCGTGGTATCAAGATAGGATGTTTTTGTGGAAAGAGATCTAAGTTTCTGTCATGAAAAGGCATTTCAGACTTCAGTGTGGCTTATTCAGATGGTTAATGTGGGCCACATGTATCTAATGTGACATGAGGTTGCTTGATGTTTCTTATTATCTTTTCTTCTCTGATGCAACGCTTGTTTTCAAAGTTTGGATACAGTGTGTCCAGAACATAAGGTTGTAATACTTATTTTCATGGTGTTACATGATGGCTGTCTTTTTGGAAAACTTACCCTTGCTGACAACAGTAGCCTCTAGTAATGCAATAGCCGAAGTCATGTAATGAGCTACAGATTCTAACAGAGAGAGATAATCTGGTCAGAAGAGCAAGCTTGCTTCCCATAGATTTGCTGGCTGCAGCTTCGTGACTCTGAGCTTGGGAAGATGATGTTGCACAACAGTGGCACAACAGGCAGCAGACAGTTTTCTTTTTCCTCTTGGTCATAGTGCCTGAGTCATTGAAAACCTTTTATTGACCAGCTCATCCAAAGATTTTTCACAGCCTTTTAAGAAGTTATGTAAGTCTAGAGAGTGTTCCTCCATATGTTTCATTTCCCCTGTTCACTTATTTTTCAAACAAGCTCATAGTGTGTCCCAAAAGTT